GCTGACAGGGAGACCCATCTGAATCCTGTGTAGACTCCTGAGAAAATTGTTCAGAATAAGGGGTTTTAGCAAACCAGCTAATTCCTGTGCTTCTTCTCTAGGTATAGGGCAAGGGGTTATTAAGTCATGCTTCATTTGACTTTGAGATGATGGTACTGTCATGGGACCTCTCCCAATCTCTTGTTGTGGTGCTGAAGGTGTCATAGGATATTCATATAAGGATGACAGTATCTCCATCTCTACTGGAGTCTCTAGTGTTCCCTGTATATCTTGGCTTCTGTTTTCCATCTCATATTCATGCAATCCCTTCCCTCCGAGGGAGAAGTAAGAAGTTCAATTATTGGGGAGACCAGATCTATAAGCGGTTCAGCAGTGTCCATTGTGGCCAACAAGGATTTCTTTAAATTTTCTAACTTGAACAATATGCTATCTTGTTCTTTTCTTGGGAGAGCGCCAAAAGCATTAATGAGGCCAGTTTCTGTGCTGTTAAGTACGTCTTCACTGACCAAGGCTGGCTGACTCCCACTTTCTTTCTCTCTTGTTTCCAACGTTGAGAATGCAGAAGAGACAGCAGCCGTGGGAGCTTGCATGTTAACAATTAAAGATTTAATCTTTTCCTCACAGAAAACTCTCATGGGAAAAATTTGGAAGTAGGCTAAATGTGCCTTCATCTTAAACAGCATCAGCGGTATGGTGGGCTGCTTGAAAGACAGGAGTATCCACTTCCTAAAGAGATTTTCTTCATTTGAATAGGCTGGTGCCTTTAGTAATCTTGCTAATTTTAACCTCGGTCTTAAATCTCTTTAAGTGTAATTTCCAATCTTTTAACATGGCGGAAAGATTGACTAAAGAGGACCAGGAGAAGATTGAGTGGCTGAATACTGAGAGGAGAGTTTGATTATCTTCCTACAGCAGAAAGCCAGATCTTGGTCCAGTCCCTTTGTCAACCCTAGGAAGAGCGCAAGGGCAAACCACTTCTAAAATCTTGCCAAGGAAACTGTAGAGTCCAGGCAGTTGCCAAGAGTCAAACTGACTCCAAGGCACCAAAACAAAAAATTCAAATCAAATTGCAGGCTCCCTAGTGCCTGTTAGCATTCTCCTTAGTGTTTGCCGTGTTCTCCACCTCATCTAATTAACTTTGAAATTTGTTTGAAGCTTTGTAAAAAATGAACAGGAAATTGACATATTACAAAATGAGGGGCCACCTTCCAGCCTTTGGGCAGATCAGTTTATTTGGTGGTAAATCAGAACAAGGTCTTAAATAAGAGGGATGGGCCTCCTGTAGTCACCAGGGATTGCAGCAAATATCAGTGCTGTCAGAATGTTATGAATAATCATGCAACAGTAGATATTATGTACTTATTACTCAATATGTGACACAGGGATGTAAATTACAGTATTTGCATGATGGTATCATCACACACATGGTTGTGATTTCCCTTCCTTCCCGCTTTGCTCCTCCAGAAAACACCTACACCTACACCCAGCTATCAAGACCAATCTTTTCAACCTTGGCCCTTCTGATAAAGCTGACAATTAAGTAGCAGCTCATCCTCAACTTATGACCACAATTGAACCCAACATTTCCATTGCTAAGTGAGATGGTTGTCAACTGAGTTTTGCCCCATTCTATGCTCTTTCTTGGTGGCGCAGTGGTTAGAGTGCGGTACAGCAAACTACTTCTGCTGCAGCCAGCTGCCTGCAATTTGGCAGATTGAATCTCTCCAGGCTCAAGGTTGGCTCAGCCTTCCATCCCTCTGAGGTGGGTAAAAGATTGCCCCAGATTGTTGGGGGCAAGAGGCTGACTCTGTAAACCACTTAGAGAGGGCTGTAAAGCACTATAAAGCGGTATATAAGTCTAAGTGCTATTGCTATTTCTTGCTACAACTGTTAAGTGAATTTGACTTCCTCATTGACTTACCTTGTTAGAAAATCCACAAAAGGTGATCACATGACCCTGAGACATTGCAACCATCCTTAAATATATGCCAATGGCCAAGCATCTGAATTTTGATCACTTAACTGTGGTGTTGACCAGGAATCTAATGTTTCTATTGACAAGTCTTGAGGGAGCATATGTGCTGTTGAGGTAATTCCCCGTTAGGAGAATGAGCGCATACAGGGAGACGTATTTGAGAGAAGTGTTTGAATAATACACACACAGTACACAGATACACTGTACAGTAAATGTAGGTTTTTACTTCCAGTTTAAGCAAAGTTCAAGATAAGCAGTCCAAAGTCATTCACAGGTAAATCAGTCAGTTTTTCAATCCAGGGATAATCCAAATATCAAAGTCCAGTGTCAAAAAACAGTTCAGTATCAGACTTACATTAAATCCAGGAATATCAGTCAATTAGGAAAAAGGGAGCAACGGCAATACTTTCCAACAGAAGGAAACAGATCCACTCACACTCTCTTCTGAGACTCAGACTAAGACAATCCAGGTTTCTGGCTCCATCTTATGGCTGTTTGAAAAACCACACCCAATTGCAGTTTTTGCAATCTCTTAAAGACATAGTACTAAAATGTCTATCCAGGCTTATATATTTCTAACCCAAATACCTGTTAGGTGACTTATATTCCTAACATTTGCCGATGTCATCAGTGCCTCTGCATGCCTTCAAGGCCACGGAACGTTCCTCAGGAAGCACCCAATGTCCCTGAGTTGACAGCCATATCCTGGGAAGATCACCAGGGGAACTGGATGACTATTTTTCTACTTCTTTATCTTATCCAGCATGTGCCAGCTTGTCCCGGTAGAGTGTGCCAGTACCTGTGGGTGGAGAAGTGAGCAATGTAGGAAATGTATGTATGTATATATGTATATACAGGGGTGGGATTCAAATTTTTTAACAACCGGTTCTGTGGGTGTGGCTTAGTTGGTGGGTGTGGCTCGGTGGTCATGTGACTGGCTGGGTGTGGCCAACTCAACATCACTCACATCGAGGCACGCATCTCCTCGCCTGGCCTCTTATGACTATGGAGGTGCTGCAACAGTCATAAGTGTGAAAAACTGTCATAAGTCATTTTTTCAGTGCCATTGTAACTTTGAATGGTCACTCCACATAAGCAAAGTACCAGCAAAGGAGGAAAAAAAAAACTCCAGAGAAGTTCCTGAGACAGGAAGTCTAGTCCTGCCAAGAATGTAATAAGGGTTAACGGAGAGGCAGTTTCTGTAAGCAACACCAGAATGCTTCCTTCCTGCCTTCCTTACAGGATTAGGCCAGTAATTTCTTCTAACAACTGGTTCTCCGAACTGCTTAGAATGTTAACAACCAGTTCTAGCGAATAGGTGCGAACCGGTAGAATCCCACACCTGTGTATGTATATATCAAAGTGTGTTTAGGGTGGCTCACGTGCTCACAAAACTCACCTTGTTGTGTGGCGCTTGGCCACATACCTAGACTGTCAACTCTCCAGGTGACAAGCTCAGTATCTTTAACTGCTGAGCCATCACATCCCTCACAGCGAAGGTACCCATGCCAAAATGACTTTTGTCATCTTGAATGGTATTGCACATGATTGTTAATGATCTGCAACCCAATTTAAGAAGTGGTTCTGTTCTGCAGACTGAAATTCTGAAAGGCATTCACACCTTGAGAGCACAGGTAGTCCTCGACTTACAATCTTTCATTGAGTGTCTGTTCTAAGTTACAACGGCATTGAAAGAAGTGACTTGCAAGTTAAAAGCCCTTACACTTTTGATGGTCCCAGCATCCCCACAGTCACATGATCAAAATTTGAGCACTTGGCAACTGGCGCATGTTTACTATGTTTGCAGCATCTTGGGGTCATGGGATTACCTTCCCAGCCAGCTTCTGACCAGAAAATTCCAAAGGGGAAAGCCGGATTCACTTAACAACTGTGTGATTCACTTAACACCTGCAGTGGTTCATTTAACAACCATAGCAACAAAGGTTGCCGAATGAGGTGTGAGCATTCTGCTCCCAATTGCGGTTTGGTTGCAAGTCAAGGATTGCCTGCAATATTTTCTGCATCAAAATCAGGCTTTTTTGCAACATGCTTGGTTGCATGGTGTAAAAACAAACTAGAGAGTTTGAAGCACTGGGGACAGAGCATTTTTTACAGTTTTCATTAAGGCTGTTGGTCTTTCCAGCACTAGCACTATACACTGTATATGCCAACAGTCTGTAGAGATTCTCAGTCATCCAGATCATGGTTGTCCCGAAGGTGCTTTTTCAGGCGGCAACTGGACTTCCTTTTTTTTCTTTTGAAGACGTTTCACTTCTCATCCAAGAAGCTTCTTCAGCTCTGGCCGGATAGTGGGGAATGGAAGGATTTATATTCCTTGCAAACAGCTGGTAATTTGCATCCTTTTAGAGGGTTCTTGAAGCCCTTGGATGTTTATCTGTATCCTCAGTGCATATGCCAACAGTTTCTTTAGCGCCAAACTGGAAGTGTCAAGCTTGTATATTAATTGTGCTGCAATTCCATTAGAAAGCTGAAAACCTACTCTGTAAATTTCCAAAGGCAACTGTTGGACTCCTGGTTAATAATACAAATATCCCAGATGTCATTGGAAACTCTTCTTTGCATAGCTTGGCAAAGGAGAAGAAAATACTTATGGGTATGATGCAATCCACTCAGGCTTGAACACACAGAAGAATATTGTTCGGGGAAGACGGGAAAACGGCCAGTTCCATAATGCATTTTCATCAAAACAACATATCCTCCAGAAAGCGTCTAGTCAGCCATTGGCCTCGTAAGGAGTTTTTCTTTACAGCAGTTCGTGCTTTATATAATCCCTAATTGTTGTTGTTTTTTTTAACAATATTTTTAATCACTGCATTTTAACAGGTTTTACATTTTCGGCCGAGGACCGTCCTATCTGCCTTTTGTCCGAACTGTGTGTGTGTGTGTGGAGGGGTGGAAGCCTAGGGGACATTGAACCCACCAAGGGTGTTTTAACTCACTGCAGGATTGTTAAAGCTTCAAGTAGCAGCTCTCCCCGGTAGGGGCGCGAGACCACCGTTTCCCTCTCTTCTGTATTCGGTCCAGCAGCAAGCTAAAAGGTGGATTCCCGCTGCTCCGCCGGCTTTTAAACGGGATCTGCTTTTTGTTTTCCTTCTATAGCTGCCTCAAGAACCGTTTAGACCGTCCGTGCCCGGCAGCCAAAAGGCAGAGCGAGCTGGAAAGCCGCCGGGCCCCTGAGAACCGGGTGGAAGGGGAAAAAAAACCCCGCAATCAAAATGTAAGAAACCAACATGACACACAGGGGAGATCGGCGAGAAGAACGATGCTGCGGGGCTGAAAAAGAGCGAGCAAGGTACCATCGTCCACTCCAAGGCTGAGACTTCTCCGCAAGGCTTTGCTTAAGAGCCGAGCCGAGGCCGAGCCGAGGCGCGCGGGCGGGAAGGCAGGCTGGGATGGATGGAGGCGGCCGAATGCGCTGCGTGGACCGGGCACAGCTTCAGAGAGGGGAGGTTTTATCCTTTCGTGCAGACCTCGAAAGAGGGCGGGGCCTCCGTCCCCAATTAGGGGGGGAAGGGGCGATGGCGGGCCTCTTTCTTCCCTGGATCCGGAATCTTCTCTAAAAATGGAGCCATCTGGCTAGTCTTTAGCTTTCTTTGTCACAAAAAAGAAAGCAAGGGGGGGTGGGGGCGGCTGTCTTAAGGGAAAGGTTCCCCCGCACATATGTCTTAATCTTGGGAAAGCGATGAGGTAATTTTTTCAGACCCGCCGCTGCCTGTCTGATCGAGTTGAGCAACCCTGCTGAGGAAGCGGGGTGAAAAAAAAAAATCTAATCTTTTGCCAAGCTGCGTCTTTCCTCCAAAGCGGCTTCTGGTCCTGCTGTTAACGGAATTAGCGTTCAGGAGGGAGCCGGCACATGTGCTCGAGGACCCGGGGGGTGCGGGGGAAGGGAGCCCGGACAAGATCGTAGCCAATCTTCGTCAGGTATGGAACGGGGGTGGTGGTGTTTCCAGATGTGGCTCCAGCAGCAGTCCTCGCCCTCGCCCGCAAAGATCCGCCCCAAAGATCTGTTGTAAAGGCAGAGACTTAGGGAGGAGGGACTAGTTGGATTAAGAGCTACTTGCCTAAGGGTCGGCATAGCCGTAGAAGAAATAGCTGAGAGGTAGGATGCAAGCTTGGCACTCCTGATTTTTTTTACTGCCTTCTGGGGGCATGTGATCTTTCCTTAAATCTCCTTCGGTTTCCTTCGGATATCCTGTGAGGTGAGTGAGACCAGTGGGTATCTTTTCAGTGATGCAAATGGATCTAAGGATTGCTTCTGAGTGGGAAAGGCTGCTTGGTCAGTTCACTGAGCTGAGCACCGGAGTCTTTTGTCTATATGGAGCTTCTTCAGTCATCCAGGTCATGGTTGTCCCAAAGGTGCTTTTTTCTTGGTTTCCAGAAAGTCCACTTGCCTCTTGAAAAAGCACCTTTGGGACAGGAGCCTCTTCCATTGCTTCAGAGTGGCCAAGGCACATAATTGCTCACTGATAGAATTTTTTTTTTTAAAAAAAGGAAGTAGAGTGTGGATCCTCCCTCTAATTTGTTTTAGTTTTCTCTCGTGATAATAAGGCTTAGTAACATGGCACCAGGCTTGAAGTTTATTTAGATATCTGTGACATCAGTGGTGTGATTCAAATTTTTTTACTACTGGTTCTGTGGGCATGGCATGGCTTGGTGGGCATGACAGGGGAAGGATACTGTAAAATCCCCATTCCCTCCCCACCCCACTAACCTGCTTTCCAGCTCCGTTCTCCTGTGCAGGGCAACAAAAGAAGACCCAGCCAATTAGCTGGGACTCGGGAGGTAGAGAATGGATGGGGCGGGGCCAGTCAGAGGTAGTATTCCAAACTACTCAAAATTTCTACTACCAGTTCTCTGAACTACTCAAAATTTCCACTACTGGTTCTCCAGAACTGGTCAGAACCTGCTGAATACCCTCCTCTGTGTGATATGTACTAAGTTTATTGTGATCCTGACAAGCTTGCATGGGCAGAGACTTGAAACTGGGTCCCCTGTATGCTTTGTTAATTTGCCTCTTTAGTGTGACATTTTGTAGCCCAAGTGTGCCACCCACTTTCCGGAGAGCTTAAATGAACTCGCTGCTAAAGGATTTTGCTTTATGAGCAAGAGTTGGCTGCTGATAGTTATTGTTGCATTGTATATTTTAATTGCTCAAGGTGCTCTAACACTCCCTGCCTGATTTGTAACTCTGGGTTGCAGGTATTGCTGATGAAAAGGAAGGCATTCAGACAGAGGAGACCCAGCATAGTTTAGGTTTTTATGATGGATGTGACTGTCATAGATCTTCAGTGTGTATTCTCCCCCCTCTTTCTAATCTAATGATCGGTATTGAGGGCAGCTTTTTGTAAGCAAAGAAGGTTTTTGTCAGTGTTTGTAAAGCAGAGTTGTGCATGATGTAACTAGTCATTCTGTTTCCATAGCGCATGGAATTCCTTATCTTTAATTTAATGGCTGGGCTCAACAAATGACAGCCTCTCAATAGGGACAGGCTCAGGGGGTGGGATTCTACCGGATTGGACTGGTTCTATAGAACCGGTTGTTATGATTCTGCGCAGTTTGGAGAACCAGCAAATCGTGCCCCTGGCTGGCCCCTCCCCTCCCAGTCAGTCCTTATTGCGCATGCGCAACATTGTGTGCATACCCAACATCGCTCTTCTCCGCCCAGTCATCCTTAAGGTGTTTCTTCCCCCCCCCCCCGATGATCGGCTGCTCCTATGATCAGCTGTGCCTGGATTCCCCTCGCTTACATACTGCTTCACCCAGGAGGCTCCCCTAAGGCTCAGGAGGCCCCAAACCAGAGTGCAGGGGGTGCTGCGTGCCTCCCCTATGCTCCGTTTTTTTTCTTCCTGAGCCCCAGGAAAGCCTTCTAGGAGCAAAAACTCCCCCCAGGGGCCTTCCCTGAGGCCCAGAAGGCCCCAAAAATGTGTGTGTGGGGGGGAACTGCAATAAAGCCACATCCACTCAGTCACATGGCCTGCCCACAGAATTGGTTGTTACAAAATTTGAATCACATGATTGTAAGCTAAATGGGGAAGTTGAAAAAAATGTTCCTTCCCTGGAAGGGGTAGTGAAAGTTTCATAGATATGTCCATGAAGAAGGGACAACTGAATCTGCCACGGCTGGAAACTTAAGAATTAGAGACCAGACCAGATCATGATGAAAACAGGATGCAACTCCCCTCCATATCCAAAAATGGAAGAGAGGCAAAATTTGAATCCCAACGTGGTTCTGCAATAGCTGCTTATCTTTCTACTAAGAGTGTCTTGTGTTAGTAATAAAAGACACTTTCTACCCAAGCCTTAACTTCGACTCCTCTGCTACTAGCTCCAGAGTGCTGCTTGAGTTTCTAGAAAGATAAGTTTTGTTGTGCCCTGAGTGTGCTATCAGCTTGTTTTATAAGGGATCACCCTACGTGTGACTCTTCGATAAGTAAGTTGCAGCAGTGGAGAGAATGACAGACACTCTAGTAAACACTTTTCTCTCTCATTCCTTCTTTTAAACTAAGCTTTTTTCTGGGTAAAGGATTAAGCTTAAAAAACTGTGCCTTTTAGCCTTAAAGTTTCACAGACGCCTGAAGGGCATAACTATATATATTTATATAGTTATACTATATATATTTGAAACAAATTTTATTAATTTTAAAAACAAACAAAACATCATTAAACATTGAAAACATGAAACCTCTTTCCATTGTAAATCTTTACAAGGCAGATAAAACATTATTTTATGTCGCATACTTCTAATTTACCCCATTTCCATATAAACACATAAATATCTTTTAACAAATTTCTCATTATTTCTCTTTACTCTTATTCAATTACATTTCTTTTCTATATTTATCTATTAGATAGTCATCATATTTATATTTCCCTCTGACTTGTTTGCAATTATTCTCATCTGACATTCCTCCGAGGTTTTATTAATTCTCAATCAAACATACACACACAAAACACAAAAACATAAAACTTCTTTTTAGAAAGTAGCTTGGCCCCAGATTACCTCTCTTTGTATGGACTTCAATTAAATTCATGCTCTTTTTATATACCATTACCTATCTTGTTTACCATTCTATATCTTCTATATAGTCTCTAAAATAGTTAAGTACATAATTAAATATTAAAATCTATCATTGAATCATAAACATTATAATATTTTAATTTATTAATTAAACTTAGTTTATTAAGTCTTATAACATTCCAGTTGTCTATTTCAAAAACAGATGCTACAATAATAAATCTATAATAACATCAACACATTAGGCCATTAAACTCTATAATTAAACTAAATATTTTAAACATTTCCTTTAATATTTTATTAAAGCTTAAAGTCTATCATTATTAAACATTTTAACATTATTAAACACTTTAATATTTTAATCTTTTATTAAATCTTATAAAATTCTAATTTTCTATTTCTAATACAAATACTACAATACTATCATATGTACTTTGCAGAATCTTTTTTTTTTTAAATTATGCATTACCCTTTATCCCTAAAAATTTTTTCTTTTTCCCATCTTGTTTTATACCTTTGTGGCTTTTCCCCCCCTTTTCCCTTTCTTTCTTAACCCACCTAGCCTTTTTACCCCCTCCTCTCCTAACCTCCGCCTTTTTAGCTTCCCCTCTCTGTTGTATTCCTCTTTCCTTTTGCTTTCTAACATTGTATTGATTTTGCATCTTATTTTTCTCTTTCTTGGATGTTTTTTAAGGTCTTAAGTCCTTCCTTTTCCTTCCTCTCTTTCTCTTTTCTTTCTTGATCAAACTTTTTGGTTCATTAAAAATGGCTTCTTCTTCCTCTGCTTCCTCCACCTGTTGTTGAGTTTGCTGGTAAATAGCAAGCGCCATTTCTAAAAAGCTAAAGGCTTCTCCCACAGCGTCCTTGCCTTCTTTCCTTGTTTTTCCATATTGTTTTCTTAGTTCATCAAGAGATAAAGCCATTATAAACCTTTTCTTCTTCTTTTTCTTTTTCCTCTTCTTCTTGTTAAACCAGCCAAGATATTTCAAAACTTAAAACAGTTCCCCAAAGTCCCAGAGTCATTAAGCAGTCCAAACAGAGCACAAAGTTCTTCCCTTTGCAATTTCTCTTCCTGGGGTAATATCAGTTAGGAAAAAACTGAATCTGTATTTTAAAGCCTTATTGCAGTTAACTTCTAGTCTCTTAATCTTCAAGGCATCTCCTCCAACAAAGTCTTAATATAAATTTTTTTTTCCAGTCCTCTCCCTTCCAACTTGTAACAAAGAGCTTTAAATTTTTACCTTCTGTAAAAGCAGGTTTTTCAATGTCCATTTGTT